TTACCCCTATTCACATATACAAGTGGTATCAATCACACAACCATGTATGCATGACAAATAATGAATCAGAAACAAACATACTCCTATTGGGACACATTTTTTAGGCATGACCCCCTTGTTCATTACATCAAGCCCTTGCAACATATTGGCTAAGCCCGATCCCCCATAACCAAACCCATTAGGACACATTGGCTACGCCTGATTCTCCTTGATTAATTGGTTGAGCCCTTAGGACACATTGGCTATGTCCGATCCCCCATACCTAAACCTGTTGAGACACATTGGCTACGCCCGATCCCCCTTGATGAGTTCATCGAGCCCTTGGGACACATTGGCTACGCACGATCCCCCACTCGGATACATCGAGACCTACTATGTATATTCCTCAATACATGATCGAATACTATACGCCCACTAGATTCTAACCCCTCCTAGTTCTACCCACATAAACAACATATAGCACACACAAGCTAACACAAAGAATGCATAATATCACACAATATATTGAGAAACTCACCTCCAATGTCCAAGTAACCTCCGGATACAAGTCGGGACCCACTCACACCAAGTCACCCTTTGACACTCCTAATAATAGCAATCAAGATTAAAAATGGCTACCATTCACCCTAAACATATAATTAAACTACTAGGTTAAATTTCCAGATTTTAACTCGAAATAACGGTGTGTTCAAGACCTATCCCCCCCCCCCTTAAACCCATCTAAACCAGATTACAAAACCATATTCATGAAGTTCAGGTCAATACCTTTTCATGGACTACTTACACATGTCCATACGATTTTCCTACAATTTATAAAGAATTTTAAAAAACTGCATATCATTGTAGCTCATTTCGGACCAGTCTGGGAAAATGACCATTTTCAATTAGTTAGGAACAACAACACGTCAGGGGAAAAATCAAGGACAAAGTAGACTAAAATTATAAACTTTCAGAGTTTACGGATCCTAATTTCGACTCTCAATAATTTTTCTAGAATTTATACAAAACATGGGCAGAAAGGACATTTTACCACAATTTACAGCTTTGACTTATTGGGTTATTTTGGCATTTTAACCAAATAAGTCATCAACCATAAAACCTTAAAGAAAAATAAAGTATGATGCTTTAATGAAAAATAAAGTATGATGCTTTAATGATGAAGTCACCAACTTAGGGTTTTGATTTGAAACTATACCCATAAAGAGCTTAATGATTCGACCTAGTGGATGGACATGTGACCTCAACCTACACCCACCTAGAAATGGTGGTGGCATGGTGGTTCAAAGGTGGTGAAAATCACACATTTACAAAGTAGAATACGAAAAGAGTAAACACATGATATATAGGTTTTTATGCTCCAATTTGCCACCACTAACACCAATGGTTGCTAAGAGGAGCACCACCCACTGCCAACTTTGCAAGGAGGTCAATGGTGGTCGGCGATGCTTAGGTATGGTCGGAAGCCAAGGATGTCGGTGGCAAAAGTTATGGTTGTGCCCAAGGTGTCACACGAAGGAGAAAAAGAAAAGGGGTTACAGACTTACCAAAGAGTTGAGCAACAAAACATGTTACCCCAAACTCCCATCCTCCTCAGGCAGGCCATATACACCGTAGTTCCTCCTTTATATACCTCCGATCACTCTTCTTTACCTCTTGCTCAAACTCCTTCCTTCCCGGGTTACTATTTCCTTTCCGCTCCTTCTCCTAGTCACACCCATACAACGCATACACAACCCACAACTTAGATTAGGGTTTTTCATGATATATTGATGAGTCGGGAAAACAAAATAGCGGGGATCGCTCCTTTAAAACAGGAGGTCCCGATGATTCCAAGAGTAGTTTCGCAAACTACAAAAGATCTCCCCAAGCTTTCCATAAAGTCAAGAATAGTACCTCTCCATATAATCCTTGACATAAGAGGTTACAAACTTGAGCACTTTCAGCCCCTTAACCTCCCAAATACTTCATTCTAGGTTTTAAAATTAATCCTAATTATTTTTATTTCATCAATATTATTATTATTGTCATATTCCTTTTAAGATAAGTCCTCACATATATATATATATATATATATATATATATATATATATATATATATATATATATATATATATATATATATATATATATATATATATATATATATTACCACGAAACAGAAATAAGGGGGTTACACCCCCTCTTCGGGTCCGCACTATCAACAATCCACTATTAGTTCCCCTGCAAAACAAAACCCCTCTATACCCTTTCATTATCGAGCATCCGAGAAAAACCAACACTGCATGGTTACTCAAAACCACACAAACTCTCTTAAAACAAAAACCTTCACCGCTACCCTTTCCAACAAACTGAATATTGAACCACATATATTTTCCTAAGCCCTTAAGCACACATGTTGGCAAAATGTGATGAAAGCAGAATATGATGCTCTCATGAAAAATAACACGTGGTTTCTCGTATCTTGTCCCACTAACACTAATGTTGTTGGTTGTAAATGGATTTTCAGGATAAAAAGACGCTCATATGGTTCCATCGAAAGACACAAAGCTAAGTTGGTATCCCAAGAAATTTAGTCAAGAAGCTGGTGTTGATTTCTTTGAAACATTCAACTCAGTTATCAACCCAACTACAATTTGTTTTGTTCTCTCCATTGCGCTCTCTCATAGAAGGCGTATTCGACAACTCAACATCAATAATGCATTTCTTAATGGTGATTTATCGAAAGAAGTATATATGAAACAACCTAGAGGTTTTGAAGATCTTACAAAACCTCAACATGTATGTCGACTTAACAAAGCACTCTATAGACTTAAACAACCTCCAAGAGCTTGGTTTACCAAACTCAAACACTACTTGGCCAACCATGATTTTTGTGCTTGCTAGTCTGACACTTCCTTGTTTGTTCACATTTCTTCATCCTCAACCATCTATGTACTTGTGTATAGAGATGGTTTAATTGTTACGGGTACCAATGAGGTTCATCTTTAACAATCTATTTTAATCGAATGTTTTCACTAAAAGATCTTGGAGACTTGTACTTTTTCCTCGACCTACAAATCCATCGACATGCCAACGGTCTTATTCTCTCATAAAAGGCCTACATTCAAGATGTTATTGCCCGCGACAACATGTCTATGGCATAACCCATATCCACTCCTACTGATCCATACAACCGACTTCATAGAGACAATGATCCTTTACAGATCTAACATTGTATCGACATGTTGTTGATTCGCTTCAATATGCTACTATCACACGCTTAGATATTGCGTACTCAGTTAACCGTGTTTGTCAATTTATGCATTCTCCAACCGGTCGTCGCTGGCAACCTGCCAAGCGCATTATTTGCTATCTCAACGACACTCAAGATCATTGTCTACATTTCAAACCAACTATTGCCAAAGCTCTTCCTGCCTTTTCTGATTATGGATGGAATTCCGATCGTGATGATAGCCGATCTCAATATGGTTTTGCTATCTTTCATGGCTCCAAACTCATTAGTTGGACATCTCGAAACAAAAAGTTGTTGCTCGGTCAAGAAGCTAAGTATCGTTCCTTGGCCTACAGTAACACTGCAACTGAATTAATGTGGATAAAACAATTAATTACTGATCTTCAAGCTCTGATTAGCAACCCTCCACTTTTGTTATGTGACAATGTTGGGGCTATATTCATGATCAAGAATCCAGTCATCGGTACGCGTTCTAAACACATTGCGTTGGATTTTCATTTCATTCATCAACACGTAGATTCTAGCCAACTTGAAGATTTGATATGTCTCTTATGTGGATCGATTGACAAATATTTTCACGAAACCATTGGGAAAAGCTTGAGTTTCCTTTCTTTGTTCCAAGCTATAAGTTCGTCCCGCGTGGAGCTTGTCGGGGGATAATAACGTGAAAATAGAACATTAAAAACATGTACATTGAAATAGTATTATGGTCAAATATTCAGTCTAGTAGTGGTTTAGAGTTTGGAGTCAACATCTCTTTTTCAGTTCTAATCTCGTGTATATAAACACTTGTAACACTCAATGAGAACACACAGACAATTTTACACTTGCTTTTATGTATCATAGTTGCTACGATTCATATAGAAAAATTGACGATTATTGAGTTAGTATCTCTCACAACGTATAGTTATTTATTGTTGATATATGTTTGTTCTAATTGGATCTATTGTTTGGGGATAATAAAAATAAATAAACTGTTGTTATTGCTTCTGTTGCGTATGATTTTAATTGTTATATAATCATCAATCACCAACACAAGACGGATGCGACCACTGACAATGCGACTATCAACAATAAACAACGATAATAACATTTTGAGAAACCGGTGACTCAACATTGGACAACTGATTCACAAGCATCTTAAGTGCTTGGCAATAGGCATGGCCATATGATAAATCTCTTTAGCTGTGAATATAATTTCGTATGTTGAATCCAACATTCGGACCATATATATATATATTTCATTCCAAAATTTTCCAATTACATTAGTTTGATTTATGGTTCCATTATATCTTTATTTCTTTATTTTTCAATTTATGGTACTTTTTTCAACCAGGCAATTTGGGGAGTTTTGTTTGTTGAACTTATATCAATCCATTTGGCTAGCATATCATGATATTGAGCAGAATACAATCACGATTTTCAAAGATAGATAGTTAGAACTAGAAATATATGCCACAGTTACTATTATGAACGTAGCCTTTTGCCTTTGCAGACTCCATAGACTTACGATTGCAACCTCAAGACTAATATTATATCAGTTACAAGACAAAAGTCTTTCTAATTAAACTTCCGTGAAATTTAGCATAGTTGACAATAACTAATTCCTCAAATTAATTCAATTTCCCTATAATTTCTATTTCATTTCCACTTTTTTGACAAAGTCCTTTTTTTGTATTTTTTACAAATATAATGAATGTTTTAAGCAACCTAATGCTATAAAAAGGGACACCAACCCAACAGTTTATTCTCATCAACTTAGAAAAAGATGAAAACATATGCCATTGTTCTCATAGTCTGTGCTTCAGTTACTGCAGTAGCAATTCTCTTGTGTTTTCTATGTAAGTTTAGTCATAGGAAAACCAAAACCAAAGTTCCAGTTCCACCAATCCGAGCAGCCCGTGACCTTGAAATAGGTAAAACCACCACCACCACCACCACCACTTTCGCTAAAAAAGATGCCGGAGTAGTTATTCTCGCCGGAGCTGCAGCCTCTGTAGCTACAGCCGCTGTAATTGTTAGCGCTAGTGGTGGCGGTGGTTGTGGTGGGGATGGTGGAGGATGTGGCGGTGGTGGGTGCGGTGGTGGTGGCTGTGGAGGGGGTTGTGGCGGTTGATCAGAATGGTTCTGAACTTGTGTGAATTGTGCTTTTTTTTTTTCTTTGTTGTACTATATTCTAGTGATGTAAATGAAAATATATAACAATGATGAAATAAAAATTTAAAAACAGAGGATGATTAAAACTTAAAAGAAACAAGAATCACATTTACTATGGTTTTTTACAAGTGTCCAAAGGGTGCTTTTAATCTCTTTGAACTTCATGTGAGAAAAATCTCCAGACAAAAACAAATGAACATCATCTTTTACTGTAATCCAACTGCATCCAGGACTCTTTTTAATACCTTTCACTCTTTTCATTCTTCTCACTAATTCCTCATCTTCTTTCTTCCTAGAAACCAAGTATATATCAGATAAAACCACATAAGGTGTAGCATTATCAGGCTCCAATTCATAGATATGTTGAGCTGCAATTTCTGCAACATCCAAACGAAAATGACTCCTACTTGCTCCAAGAAGTGCACCCCAAACCCCAGAATGAGGCTCAAAAGGCATCGAATTTATAAAATCAAACGCTTCATCTACAAATCCAGCTCTACCCAAAAGATCAACCATGCATGCATAGTGATCTGGATTTGGTTCAATTTTATATAAACATTTCATTGAGTTAAAATATCCTTGACCTTTTTCAACCAATCCAACATGAGTACACGCAGAAAGAACACCAAGAAATGTAACATCATTCGGCTCCATATTTTTTTCCTCCATTTCCTTGAATAAAGAAATCGCCTTTTCCCCATATCCGTTTTGTGCAAATCCATTGATCATAGAATTATAAGAAACAACATTTGGAGAAGCAATGGAATGGAATGTATTGTAGGCGTCATCTACACATCCACACTTTGCATAAAATGACACCAGTGAATTTTGAACAGATAAGTCGGATTCCATACCTGTTTTAACTACAAGACTATGGATTTGTAGTCCTTGATTTAGTGTTGCTAAAGAAGCTGAAGAGCTAAGAACACTGCTGAATGTAAGAGGATTAGGTTTGATTTGTGTCTGAAGCATCTGAACAAACCAACGGATTGATTCCTCATGTTCTTGGTTGCTCACAAATCCTGATATAAGAGCAGTCCATGTAATATCATCTTTCTGTGAATGTGGTATCATTTTGAACAACTCAACTGACTTTTCTGTATGCCCTTTGCTACTTAATCCAGTTATCATTGTTGTCCAAGAATATACATCCTTTTGTGGCATCATTTTGAAATGTTTGTAAGCCTCGTTGAGGTTTTCAGATTGAATGTAACCACTAATCAAAGAGTTCCATGAAACTGTGTCTTTTGTCTCCATTATGTTGAACAACTTAAGAGCTGAATCTGAATCACCGAATCTAGAGTACATTGTGATGGTGGAATTTCCTAAGAAAGTATCAAAGTTGAATCCCATAAGCATCACTAAAGCATGTACTTGAAGCCCTTCTTTATATCTATCGAATCTTCCACAGCCTTCAAATACTACAGTTAATGTGTTGGAAACAAGTTTTATACCATTTTCACATCTCATTTGTAGGAATAACGAAAACCCTTCTTCAAAATATGTGGTTTTCATATAACCATCGATCATTGCAGTATAAGTAATAACATTTTTATCTGGAATTGCATCAAACAACTCTCTTGCTTTCTTGATTTCCCCTAATTTGCAGTATCCATCAACCATTGAGCTTGAAGAAACCACGTTCTTCTCCACCATTCCATTGTAAATTTCAACAGCCTCTTCAAGTTTCCCGTTCTTCAAATACCCATTCATCAAGGCGTTTGAACAGAAAGGATCCCGCCACTCTATTGGCATACTATAGTACAACTTCTCTGCATCTTCCAACCTTCCTGCACGAACATAACCTGTGATCATGGAAACATAGGAAACTGCATTTTTCTCAGGGGATTTCGAAAACAATTCACATGCTTTATCAATCCCGTTCTTGTTACGCATATAGGCTGTAATCATCGCATTCCAAGTAGCAACATTTCGTTGAGGCATTTCATCGAACACTTTACGAGCCTTATTGATCTGTCCATTCTCCGCATATGCAGTGAGCATAGCAGTCCATGACACGACACTCTTGACTGGCATGCGATTAAATATAAGTTCTGCCTCGTTAATATTACCGATTCGACCATTTTCACTGATCTTGGAGTTGCAATAGACGATGGATTTGCTTGGACTACAATTAGGGTTTACGGAAATTGATGACAGCGAAGTTGAGTGATTAAATTTTACCACATTACGAAAAATCAGATGGTGAACATGGATGTAACCTCGTTTTGCTAACATGGCGGATAGCAGTCCATGAGAAAGAACGAGGGGTCAAATGTGTCTAACAGTGCACAACTGCACATTGACTCCCGTTTTAGCCATTGTAGCTCGTTTATGCCCCCACCCCTTTGATTCTTGGTGAGATTCATTCGTCACCTTTAGCTTTTGATGTTGGCAAAAATACCCCCTCTTCTTCTCATTTAGATAACTTATCCTCTTTAATGGTTTTTCAAATACTGTTTGCATTTTTATATTGTTATGCTTTCTTTTAAAAAATTATAAACGTATGCAGGTTTTGTAATTTAGCTTTATCTAATTTGTTTAGGAATTCATGATTATAATAAAATAATAATTTATTAATCATTTAAAAGTACGAAAATGACTTTAAACTTGACATCTAGTATATTTTTAATCCCTTGTCAATGTATAAATCGTAACCATCAGCTTTAAGTTTTAAGTTTTCTTATCCATTTTTGATCCCCTTTGGATTCGACTGACTTCAATTAATTTTTAAACTCAATTATAAATATCAAATAAGTTGTCATGTTAATTTTAGGTTTAACAGATGCATCTACTACTTGTACGTAATGAAGTAAGAATTGTACCTCTTAAACTTTAAAAACATTCTGAATCGAAGAACATCTTAAGTTAAAATTTTCTGAGAAGTTCTCTTCATTCCCCCTTCTCTTCTTCCAAAATCCAAATGAACTTCATTACAACCTTATAGTATACTATAAATACGATAAGAAACGAAATAGTTTATTCAGAATTCAGAAAAAGATGGAGGCATACGATATCGTTCTCATAGTTTGCGTTTCAGTTGTTGCAGCAGCTATCGTCTTGTGTTGTCTCTATTGTCTCTGTAATTCCAGTGATTGGAAAGAGAAAATCACAATTCCACCACTCCGGACTGCTCGACGCCGTGAAATAGGTACAACCACTACTTCCGATGGAGGAGCTGTATTTTCTGCTGCTACAGCCGCTGTACTTTTCAACGCTAGTGCTGGCGATGGATGTGGTCACCATGGTGGAGGCTGTGGAGGGGGAGGATGCGGTGGCGGAGGCTTTTAGGTGGACGATGCGTTGGTGGCTCCTAATCAGTAAAATGTAAGAAACATTCAGAATCTCTGTGTCTTCCTTTCCCACACAATTAAGTAGAAAACTACATTTTTCTCGAGTGATTTAGAAAACTATTCACACGCTTAATCAATCCCGTTCTTGTTAGTTCTTACGCATATGACATGTAATCACGGCATTCTAAATAGCAACATTTAGTTGGCGCATTTCATCAAACACTTTATGAGCCCTATTAATCCGTCGTTTTCTGCATATGCAGTGAGCATATCAGTCCATGATTCAGATTAAAACTCTTAAACTAACATGCGATTAAATACAAGTTTGCGTCGTTAATATTTACCAATTCGAACTTTTTCACTGATCTGGGGGTTGCAATTGATGATGGATTATAATTAGGGTTTAAGGAAATTCACACAACGAAGTTTAGTTGATTAAATTTTACCACATTACAAGAAATCACATTATGAACATAGATGCAACCTCTTTTGAAATTAGCAAAAACACCCCCTGATCTTTATCATTCAGATAATCTATCCTCTTATGGGCTCTTTCAAATAACTTTTAGATTTTTGTAATGCAATGGTTTCTATAAAATATTTAACCATTTGGGTGCTCCCTAATAATTGAAGTAGCCAAAACCATATGGCTCTTTTCTATCCATCCATGAATGGCAATGAAATCTTTCACATTTGCATTTTGTTTTTCCTTATGTTAAGGGTGCCCTTTTTGTAAGAGGCATGATAAGCAAATATGTTTAAAAGAAAACCCTAATTCTAATTATTAGTTGACTAATAAAGGGGGTGTTGTAGTGTTGCTTTTTTAAAACAAATTATATTTTCTATAAAAATGTTTATAGAAATCTATGTAAAAGTCATTATGTTTCCTCGTTTTCATAAGGGTTTAGGTCATTTTTGGTCACTTAACTTTTGATTTTGTGTTCATTTCGTCACTTAACTCTTTTTAAGTTTTAAAAGGCCATCAAACTTTTGACTTTGTGCTCATTTAGTCACTTAACTTTTGGTTTGGTCACATTTAGTCACCTAACTTTTAAAAATATGTTCATTTAGTCACTAAACTACTAAATTTTTTCAAAAGTTTAGTGACTAAATGAGAACAATTTTAAAAGTTAGGTGACTAAATGAACACAAATCTAAAAGTTAAGTGATCAAATCAAAAGTCAAGTGACTAAACGAGCACAAAGTCAAAAGTTTGATGACCTTTTAAAACTTAAAAATAGTTAAGTGACCAAATAAGCACAAAATCAAAAGTTAAGTGACCAAAAATGACGTAAACCCTTTTCTTAATTTAACCAATATAATTTACTTTTTTCATTAAAGTCAACATATTTTTAAAACATTTCACAGCAACTCTTATGATAAGACTATTTTTTTCACTAGAGCCACCTAATTTAACATTTTTTTTTCTTTCTAATTTGACCTCACAATTACAACTTTTGTATTTATTTATTTATTTTTTTGTGAAATTCGGTTTTTTTGTTGTTGTAAGAAGGAGGTTAAAAGCGGTATTTTGTTGCATTTTTTTTTTGTATAATTTTCCATTTTTTATTAAAATTAGAAAAAGAAGAAAGTCATAATGTGAAGATTTTTGTTCTAAGCAAATGAAATTGTTAATCGTGATAAAAATATGCTAATGCTAAAATCTTCACATTTAACTTAGGGGTGTAAATGAGACGATACAGCTCAAGAAAAACTCGAGCCTGACTCAGAAAAACTCGAAATCGACTCAACTTTAATCGAGCTAGAGCTCGAGCTACTCGAGTACCTTATCGAGCCGAGCTTGAGTAGTAAAATACTCGACTCATAAAGCTCATGAGCTTAATCTAGTATTTATAAACTTACATTTTTACCCTTTATATATTTTTAAATTACTAAAACATTTCAACACTTTTAATTTTTAGACATCGGTTAAGGAATAAGAACTTAAATTGCATTTCAAAACTTTTTGAGAATGTTTCTTTTTGGTATTTTGGATGTATGTAAAATGCAATGACATAGATGGTTGATGCTATATTGGTATTAGATGGTTTATTGTGAATTTTTTATTTTTTTGAACAATGTAAAAGCATATGAAATGTTTTTAATATTTGATGATTTTAAGTTTTTTTTTAGTCGAGTCAAACTGAGCTCGCAAGTTGAGCTCGATAATCTCAAGTATTACATGAGTTGAGTCTGAGCTACAAATTTAGGCTCGATGTGATAATATCAGTAGTATTTTAGGCAAGTCGAGCTTCGAGCTTAGCACTACTCGGTTCGACTCGACTCGTTTACACCCCTAATTTGACGAGTTTAGCACCAAAAAGTCATTGCTATATATGATCAACAATATCGCTCCATGAATTATTTTTGAAGGTTGTTCGCACTAAAACTTAGATTTAATTACCTATTTAGACTAGGAAAATGTATAGTTGTTAACATGAGTACCTTGTTTTTTCAGGTATTATAGGTCTCTACTACCTTTCACACCTATTCATACTTGTCCCAAAAATTGTCTCGCAGTTTCCAAGTCAATTCTCAACACTACATATGACGACCACTATAGATATATGCATGTGTCCCAATGAGCACATATGATAGATCTTTCTAGACTCCACTAGGACAGTGCATATTTACAGACGCCCTACTATTAGTTAAGGAAGAACTTCTACCAATACTAACTAATTATCTGATGAATACGATTGCATGCCTCTAAAATCAAATAGTCTGTTGACTGAATATTTGACACTACAACGGTTGGACCCAGGAAAGAGTTGCACGTAAGCTCCAAATCAGGCAATCTAAAACTATTTAATTTTGGGAGCATTCAACCTAACATATTTGTCAAATAACTAACTAATATCAATATAGGTTCTAAGCAACAAATAAAAATCAAATCCCTAGGCTATAAAGCATCTTAAATATCAAGCAGTTTCTAATCTGGCAATTCCTGAAAGAGAAATTAAATATCCTCCTACCTTTTGTTCCTACTTTTCTTCCTACCTATTTAAGATAATGACAAATGTAAAATTTTAACATCTCAATCAAATTTAAATTAAATTTAATGACACTTGTCACTATCTAAAATAGGTAGGAGGATAGTAGGAACAAAAAGTAGGAGACTATTTAATTTCTCTTCCTGAAAAGATCTCTAGCCTACATACTCACATACATTTCTAACAGTTCATATATCAGCAAATACAACCAATATGGATATTTAGGAATCACTTTCCTTTATAAGTTATGGATGATTGTATGCATCACATTCTTTCCTTTTTTATTATTCTTTTTATAAACAGATTTATTAATTACTCGGATCCTTAATTTGAGTCTAGAATCACATGAATGTTCATCCAGTTTGCTCAAATCAGAGCTTTGATACCAACTTGTAACGTCCCGTTTTTCAACCCAAAAATTTTCATTTTTATTTATTCAAAACATTCAATTACATTAGAGTATAATTTAAATTATGTGGAAACATGATTGCGAATGCGCTTGTGTACAATCATGCCTTCTCCTCCTCACGAATTAATGAGGTTCCTGAAAAACATTTATAAACAACTGGGTAAGCGTTAGATTTAGTGAGTTCCCCAAGATACCATATATCACAGTAAATATACATGCATACAAGTAATGGCTTACGACCTTTCACCGATCCACCAATTGGCTCACGACCTATCGTCGATCCACCAATAATAAGTGTATCTAGACTTACGACCTACTTCTCATTTCGTTATCAATACCCGTGTAACATCCAAAAATATGGTCCCAAAAAATTTTGATTTAATATTAGATAAAATAGTAATTCTCCATATCATCCAAACATTGAAATAAACCAATGTATCAGTTGTCATATATCAGAGTAAAACATAATAACAAAATCCCAATGGTGTGTGCGATGCAGTCATCCCGTGCTCTTCCCCCTGGAACCAGAAGAACCTGAAACATAAACTAAAAACTGTAAGCACGAAGCTTGGTGAGTTTCCCTAAAATACCACATACCAATCATACAATAAACAAATAGTAGGCCCCGCCCATCATCGGGCTCCGCCCGGCTTCGGACCCCGCCCGTCATCGAGCTGAGCTCGGTAAAACGGGCCCCGCCCAACATACAATAACATATATCAAATAAACACATACACATGAAATAATCACAAAGATACATAGCATACAAATATCCATCGGTCCCCGGCCGACATCGGGCCTTGACACGAAAAAACATATAAACACAGCACATGCAAGAGTCACGGAGACGACTAGCATACTAACAACATAATGTAAACATGGGCCGACTTTGGTGCCTTCAACCTACTAAACCCAGTAAGGAAACTCACCTCGAATGCTGAAAGATAACCGGATAAATCCTCGGCCCCGAAAACAGCTCTACTCAACCCCTAAACAGAAACAATCCCTTAGATACCGATCAATATTTCAAAACTCCTAAAAGGTCAAACTTGGCCAAAGTCAAAGTCAAATTCAAAGTCAACGCTCCAAGTTGACTCAACTCGTCGAGTTATCCTTCAACTCGCCGAGTTTCCATGAATCACAGAATCGCGATATTTCTAATCAACTCATCGAATTTCCCTATAACTCGTCGAGTTCCTCATTTTTCAACAGAATCGGGATAATCCCAAACCAACTCGCTGAGTTCCCTTATGAACTCGTCGAGTTCATCAGTCTGCCAACCAACTTAATGCATTAAGCCACTATTCTTCAAACCGAAGCCCTATATTCCAGATCTAGACTGATATTACGTCTAGAAGGGTAAAGTTTCCAACTTTACCCATGAAGAACCACCCCAAAGGCATTAAGCTTAAACCCTTATCCTAAAAGGCTTATGTCTTAATCCAAAAACCACCATATCTTCAAGATAGAGCTCGTGAACACAGATTTGGACCTTAAAGGCTAAAAGGTCACATAAAGTCTTCAACTTTACTCATATGCATGGCCAAATGAAGCTTAAAAGGCCAAAACAAGGGCTTAGAAGGTGCATGGAGCTCT